CAACTTTTATGAAGTTTAAATCCGCAGACCTGTGTTATCAGACACGCCTTGCGTTTCACTGTAAAACTAAAATTTATCTTTACTGTACTCCGGTTAATATATCAGAAGTATATGCACATCTGTTCAAGAAAATTTTCTCTACTTAAGCTCTTAAACTTTTCTAACTACAGCTTGTAAATAGTCAACTGGTTTCGTTTGTGAGATTCTAAGAATATCACAAGAGTAATCTGAAGTAAAAATTTCGTGTCAAATGCAGGTGTGGAGGAGGGAGAGGTGGAACATCGATTTCATAAAGTTTATCGACAGTTCACATTGCATGAAATATCTCAAACAATGCATAATCTCTCAATTATAATATATTGATGGGAATTGAAATATGATATTAATTTGTTTTATTGTTTTCATTGTGCTAATGTAACGTTTTCTTTAACTATTCAACAAAAATTAGTGTTGTAGTTTTTTTTTATCACGTGTATTACTGTTTAAACATTTACTATCACAGCTCATCAAAACTGCAAGTAGCCATTTTGATAGAACTAAGTTCTTTATAAGTAATCAATCTTTGAACTAGATCGAATGTTACGGAGTCGTCCAAGGTTCGACCCGCGCTCTGCCATTGAGCACCCGATCCAGTTGTAAGGGCGTTATAGCTGTGACTGTCAGTCCCGCCATTCGGTTAGGAGTATCCACACAGACGGCGTGTGTTGCTTACTTTTTGCCCTCCTTCTGGTCAGCAGCTCCAAATTAGAGATCTCTTTGCTTAAACTTAGGGCCGATTAATTCATGTGTCATATAAGGCTGAAAACCCTAATACTACACATAATTCGAAGAACCCGTGGGCGAAAACAAAGTATGTTATAACATGTCAACCACAGCACATCTGTTTACACCAAGACTCATCAGGCCAGCTATATATCGACACACACACACGACCACTATTATGGTGTAAATCATATTAAGCATGTCAATTGTAATTATTACCAATATTATTTAAATCATTTACAAATCGGATTTCAAGATAAGAATTATTAACACAACATCATTTATTTTATTTTAATATTGTTTATTATATTACGTTAACTTTATCATCTATTCACAAGAGCTGGCGAACCAGCAGTCTCGTGTTCTTGTTGTTGGAGCGAGCAGGTGATGCAATCTCTGTGCTTTTATAATGATTGAAGTGTTCAATTTTAGGTCACATCTGAACCTCATACGAACTGAACTTTTATTACTCAGAATCCAAGTTTTTAATATTAACTTCCGAGGGCTTGGCATGGCCAGGTGGTTGTTAAAACGCTCGGCCCTTTCATCCGTGGAGGCGTTATGAAGTTACGGTCAATCCCATTATTCGTTGGTAAAGGGGATGTTGTACAGTAGCCTTCCTTTTAGTCCATCACTTTAGAATTAGGATGGCTAGCAGAGTAGCTTTTTACGAAATTTAATTAACAAACAAATAGAATTTACATCTGATCAAATCAAGCTACCTACTTGTATTTAATAAAATGATAAATACCAGCCCGTTAATGAGTATAGCTAATTAAACACGTAGTTCTCATTTCTAAAACTTTTGAATGCATTTTTTTGATCAGTTGGAACCCTCGGCCGTAAACCCAATAATACCTCACTAGGTTTTTGATTTCGATTTTTAACCATTGGTCGTATGTTGATGTGTGATCTGTAAGTCGTAGTACTTGACTACGATTTATTGATTATTGTTAATTTTATGCTCTCAAAATGTCGGGAAATTAAGTTCTTAAGATGGCGTAGAAAGGTTGGAAAAAGTTTACATTTCTGAAGAAGGATAGGAAGGCAGTGAACAAGTTCACATGTTCATAAGATGGCGTAGGAAGGCTGGGGAAGAAATATGTATTCCTTAAAATATCATAGGAAGGCTTAAGATGGCATAAATAGGCTGGAAAAAAATTCTTTGTACTCAAGATAGCATAAGAATCGCTAGGAAAAAAGTTATATATATATATATTTTAATGGCGTAGGAGGGCTGGGAACGGGATTTTTCTATGATCGGTTTCATATCCGTGCTCGTTGAGGCATGTTTCTTTGCTGTTTTTTGTTTATTTATCAACCTTATAAACAAGTGTTACGCCGTACACGTTCGTAAAGAACGCTCTTGTGTGATTTTTCCAGTAATCGTGATGCTTGTATACGGGTCATTACGTTGTTCCTTAACCGCAACGATTGTGAAAATTAATTATACATAACCGAAAAGTTTGGGGCGACTAAGAAGAGAGTCAGAAAAATACCAACAGCTTTTTCTGGGTCGTGAAACCGGTCATGTGAAGTGTTTTCTTATTTTCGTTGAGCCAGTTCGTAGAACAGTGGTTCTCAAAAGTTTCAGGCTTGCATACCACTTTTGGTTTAATTTTTTTGTATGAAGTACAAACCCATAAATAATTTAAAAACAACAATAGAAAACCTAGTATCAAAACTAATATTTGGATCACTTGCCCGTTAATGATTAGGGTGCGTTTTTTTTTACACAACTGAAGAAAGTATTGTGCGGTTTTTGTGAAATTGAAGGGAAAAAAAAAAACTAGTGAGTCTCTGTAGGCGGAGGGTGAGTCTAGAAGAAGAGGGCAATAGTGCATATATGTATGCGGGAAGCTGAAGTTGGACTTGTTATAGATTATATAATTTTTCATAATTTTGTCGCGTCCCACCGACGTGTCCAGGGCCCAGCATGGCAAGGTGGTTAGGGCGCTCGACTCGCAATCTGAGGGTCGCCAAACATGCTCGCCCTTTCAGCCGTGGGGGCGTTATAATGTGACGGTCAATCCCACAAATCGTTGGTAAAAGAGTAGCCCAAGAGTTGGCGTTGGGTGGTGATGACTAGCTGCCTTCCCTCTAGTCTTTCACTGCTAAATTAGGGACGGCTAGAGCAGATAGCCCTCGTGTAGTTTTGCGCGAAATTCAAAACAAACAAACAAACTGCTCAAAAATCAAAATAATATATGGTAACACGCAAAAATTTTACCTCCAGGTGTCTCTTCTTCAAGATACGTCGTTTCCGATATTTTCTCTTACCCTTCTTCAGGTTCCCTGCCCCCAAGACAGAGTGTTAAGGGTAGCAGTAAGGGACCTGATTTGTTTTTTATTTGAAGTTAAGCACAAAGCTACACAATGGGCTATTTGTGTTCTGACCACCACGGGTATCGAAACCCGGTTTCTAACGCTGTAAGTCCGCAGATATACCGCTGTGCAACGTCCTGAAATCTAAATTGTCAACAGGCTTATTGTTTGTTTGTTTTCTTTCTTAATATATTTAGATACGGCTGCGGGAGGCAGTTGTCCGGAGGGCAATTTTCCTACGTCGGGTGGGGGCTGTTGTAACTAATGATAACGTTTAACAATAAGCAGACATGATGGTGTATTTTTCTCGATTATTACAACAACTGTGCAGGAGGGTACGAAGAGGTCTTCGATAGTACCTGCCTCTTCCAGATCTTGACAACATGATCTAAATCCCGATCCAGATATGCACACGTAAACGTTCATTGGGTACAATACTCACTCGCCTGGTGTGAGAGAGGTCTCGGTTTCAAACGAGAGGTTAGAAAATATATTGAAGAAAAAAAAATAAT